CATTAATACATCATCTTTTCGTTGGTTTTTTAAAATATCAACTTTACTTGAAATACTTGGAGCTATAGTAGGAGAAGAAGAATAATCACTCTGAGAATCAGGAGTAATAGCACGTTGTCTAGGATCAATTTTAATAGTGATCAATTCATCAACCTTTATTTTTGAATGATGAAGAGGTAAACTTATGGTAGGAGCGGAGGAAGGAGAATTCAACTCGGCTGTAGAAGGATTATTAACTACTATAACAGATAATTCATCATCATTAATGTCGGCATTTGGATCATTACGCCATCCTTCGTTTATTATATATTGTATCATGTTGCCTATACCACCTAAGTTTACAGTCGCATCAGTCACTAAATAAATCCACATTTCATCATACTTTTATAATTGAAAAAAAAAAAGTTAGTTAATTTAAAATTGAGTTAAATAAGAAGTGAAATACGAATAAACTTATATATAAATAAACATACATTAATTATTTGACCAAAGACATAAATCATAGAAGGTGTCCATTGAATAATGAAAATAAGCACATAACCAATAATCTTTCTAACCACAATTGGTTCAACCCTTTTATGTTTCGAAGTAGCAGTATCAAATCTTGTCGCTTTTTGCCCTTTTTTTAATTGAATCGAATTTATTTCTCTTAATGTCATAGCGTAACAGAATATGGTAATTGCCAATATTATAAAATTTAAGGCCAAAGTTATTATTGGCATTATCAAGCTATTTTTTTTTGTGAAACACCTGTTGCAATTAACAAAAGAAATTAACAAGGGAAATAATGATGAGTTAGATTTCAATTATATTTGAATTAAATTATTATAACTTACCAATATTTACTAGAACCAAAACTTGGAATTCCAGCCATAGAAAGGACAAAAGATAGTGATATAAGAAACGCAAATAACTTATAATCACATTTTCCCAAGTCAATGTACCATTTTCTACATATTCTTAAAAATGTCAACATGGCCAATGATCCTACTAGGATCATGTTACATGATACTAAGAAGAATGTTACGCCACCAATTAATCGGCAATCATCTTCTGGCCAAGGTCTACCTTGAAATAAAGGGAATCCCTATTTGATATTATATGTATTAGTATATTAGAAAATTAAAATATGAAAATATATTTAAAAAAAGTGTAATAAAATATTAAAGGAAATTTATTTACCAGGTTTAAAACGTGTATGCAGAATAAAGAGAAATCTAATAGTATTTAGGTGATGGAAAGTTAGATTTTAGTTTTTTTTAAAAGAAAAAGATAAAGATCAAAAGAATACACACCGTAATAATAACGTTACCTGACAAAGAAATATAAAATGGCACTCTCAATGCCATTGGTAAAGATCTTTTAATCGTTTTCCATCGAGATAAAGTTCGAAAGATCACATATATTGTACAAAGACCACTTAAGAATAGTAGACCCATACCAAAGGGTATGACTATTTCAGATCCAGGAACTCTTTCATCATTCAACGACGGAGGATTTGATATCGGCACGGTTTGAGTCGGTAGGAAAGCTCTAGCTAAGATAAGAGATTTCATTAAATGAAATAAAATTTATTTATCATACGAAGAATATATAATAATAATAATATAGTATATCGGTAGAGTGAAAGAGGATTATTATCAAAAAAATAATGGCGAATCCGGCGCCAAGGAATTAAAAGGAGAAAATG